GTGAAATTTTCTTCCCTGTGGTTCCATCAGTGGTTCTCAACCTTTTTCCTACTCGGATCCATTTGCAAAGATCCATGGCCTGTCCCGACCTACACCTCCCCGGCCCTGCCAGTGTCCAACCCCCCAGTCCCCTGTTCCCCCCAGGAACACCATGCTGGTGTCCCTCACACCCAACCTGCAGCCCCCTAGCCCCCCCAGCCACCCCCATCCCACTCAGGCCGAGTGGAGTGGCTCCAGCAGTTCCGGCTCATGCAGGCAACAGCAGACCGAGTCTGGTCCTGGCATGGGCAGGAGGGAGGACGAGGAGAGGCCTGTACACTCCTCCTGCCGTAGGCTGGGGTTGCTGCACTGCACCACGCACTCTGGTCATGGCCCCTGCTGCCCCCCCCCCCGAGCAGCATCTCCTGGCTGCCCCACCCCTGCAGGCATGGCACCAGCCACAGTGCCACCAGCCCAGCCACCTACCCTCTTCCCCTGCTGGAAGGGGCAGATGCCTTCCCGCTGTCCCTCTGTCCTGCTGCAGCTCACGACCCTTTGAAATATTCTTGCAACTCACTTTTGGGTCATGACCCATGGGTTGAGAAATGCTGCCATACATCATTGCCTGGCTAAAATTTTCTACTTTTCACAACTTGCCCTGTCTTCTTCCACCATCATCTAGCATTGTCAGTAGGGCTCCAATTTTCACTCTTATGTTTACCTTTTGGCTTGTGTCTTTATCTTGCAACAAACCATAAAATTGATGCCTAGTTTTCTTTAGCATTAGCCACAGGTGTTAGCTCATGTAAAGTTTCTATTTCAGTTTTTAATATGGAGTTACAGTGGATAGGAAAGTCCATAGGCTTATTTTCTCTCTCACATTAGTATAAATTAGGTGTAAATCCACTTAAATTAATTGAGTTACATTAGTACAAATAAGAAGAATTAAGCTGGTCCTAGCAAAATTAAATTAATGCATTTATGAATTATGCATATGCATGTATTAAAAATACATTAGAGGTAAGTGCATTACAATCAAATTTCTCTTAATTTACTGACATTCATCTAACTTTATTCTGATTTTTTTTCTTTTCTTCATCTCATCTCATGCCCATGGTCTGTAAACACCACAGAATTATCTGAGAATCCTACCAATGCTACAGAATGCTACTGGGATACCAGGAGACAGTTACAGTTTGGCATATTTCTCTGGCACAGTGAAATGCCATGTGGTCTTGTTATACAGACTGAAATGAATCATGTTTTCACACTATTCCTAATCTGTGCTCTAACCTTGGTAATTGAAGGTGAGCTGAAGCATGATTCAGAAATATGGTGAAAACACATTTTGATCCTATCTAAGCTGACAGGTTGAGCTATATTTTAGCTATAGTTCACATCCCAGTAGCTTTTCATTGTATGAAGAGGATGTAATTTGAATTTAAGTGAGGTTTCACTTCCTGGAATAGTTGGAGGAACCCATTCAAGAGAAAACGTTGGGAAAAGCCATATAGGAGGCTTTGTTAATCCTTTTATCAGGTTTATTTTTTAATTTGTATAGTTATGCAATCACAAAGTAAATTGTACAAGTGAAATGATCCAAGTCAATCATACTCAGACATAGTAACCTAAGCATTCATTCACTGAAGTGTGAAAAAAAGACATTGAATGATATGCCTTTATCATATATATCAGAATATCCTTAAAATTGTGTTTGGTGAAGTCCCATATACTAACACAGTCTACTGAGCTATTCAGGAAAAAGGCTTCTCTCTTACTTTATCAACATAGAAAGAATTAAGTAACTCTATTAAATCCTTTCAAAAGTTGACCCTGTATATATGTACACTGAAGGGCCTGAGAGCTGTATACATGGACTATAATGGCAGAATTTAGCCCCAGACAAGCAGCTGTCTGACAGTGTAAAATGAATTTAAATAACCAGATGGTCTGTACCAGCCCATACACATGGAAGAGATGGAACCATAGGTGGTTAATTTACAACCTTTAAAAAAAATCACAAACTAAATAAAAGAGGCATTAAAAATGCCATCTATTCTACACACACACACAAATTGCCTTGAAGTGAGTAAATAAGCTCAGCTGTGCTGCGTGATGAGTCCATTAACCTTGCGATAAAGCATTAAATTAAAACCGCCTAGTTCAAATTTCTTCTCTGCTACAAGGGAAAATGTACCTTCCAAGGTTTTTGTTTTATGCTAATAGAGCTATTGTGGGAAAACTTCCCAGCCAGACATCTACAATTAATAAAATAAGAAGCAAAACAAATAAGCAAATTACAAAAACTCCTCTGACAGTACTTTAATAATTGACCTTTTAATTTTGGTTTGGTATTCTCCGACTCTGGTTTCTCCCACAGAATTCAGCTTACAGCTGTTAGGGTAATCAATTTAATCTTCATTTTTTTTTCTAGGCAAATTATATGGGCAGCACAGAACTATCACTTGCCTCGGTTCATAGAAGAGAAAAGACTTTGTTGTATCATTTCATGAAGCTACCTTTCATTTGCTCTATTTTCACAGACACCACAGCTTCATTGATCCAAACGGTAAATTTAATCTGTTTATCATCTGGCAAATCACTTAACTTCTGTTTAGGGCAAATATGGTTGTATTCTAATCAGAAAAGATTAAACCAAACTATTTGTGATAAAGATACCATACCTGGCACTAAGTGTAATCCATCTAGTGCCCAGAACTCACTTTTTGGTCTTAGTCAGCAGCATGGCTGTAGCCTTCAGGCCTGTAAGACCTCCTCTTCTCATTTGAATTAGAAGATTCATTTCCATAACAACCTTCATTCTCTTCTCCCCCTTCCCCCCCACCTTTTCTTTGGTGGCTAATTACAAGGACAATGAAAAGCTATTTCACCAAACATAATCTATGGGGAGTTTTTTCTGAAATAATATTGCTACTAGTTATAACTGCATTTTTTCTTGGAAAGAGGACCAATTCTTTTCTAAGCAGAAGTTTTTTCACACAGAAATAAAGCACTTTGGTGGCACAAAACACATACACATATACAGAGACTGAATTTCAGGCAAGTGATTTAATACATATGAAACATTTCCACATCAAAAGAAAGTGTCACAAGAGATGTAAACATTAGAGTAAAAAGGAATCAACATATTACGTAGTCCCAAGTCCACAAAATATTTTAGTGATTTAAAAAATAGAAATTAAAATACTATTCTTGTGTTGTGATAGTATCTTCAAAGTCATGGTCAGTGACCTACGCTAATAATCTAGTTGTCTTGCTGATTAGCAATACCCAAGCTCTGTCACTCACTGATAGTTAATATCATTTCTAATTGGTGAAAATGTGACTAAGGCTGGGTCTGATCTGCAAATTAAACAGGAGCTCCTAAAAAAATGCATGTTTTCTGATCCTGGCAGTTCCAGTTTACAGTGATAATGATTGGAATTGAACTTTTTAATCATGCTTGGGCATTTAAATTCAGGCTTTTTGTTTTGCCCTTTTTCTAGTATCAGTGGAGCACCAGAAAAATCTAGTCCTGTTTTTTCTTTAAACAAAAAAAGGATGACACAATTCTCCTACACTTATATATAGGGACCTACTTAAATCGCAGTTTCACAATTTTTGTGGAAACCTCAAAAAAACAACAATTTCCATGATCACCATGAAAAATGGCATTTCCCATGATTTTGCATGGAACTGCCTAAAAAAGAAATAAAAGCTTACCAGAATACAAAGAAAGTGCAGCAATCCCTGCAGCCAGAGAGCACGTGGTTTGAGAGAGAGCTACTGAGAGCTAGTAACAGCCAGTGACTCAGTGAAGGCACCAGTCAGGAAAACAAAAGGGTTTTGGCACCATGTCTTAAGAAGCCAGATACAATGCTGCAGCAATGAAGATGAGTGATTGGCCTCTCAGCCAATCAGTAGTGAAGCACAGGGCCACTGGGGCCCCTCAGCCAACCAGCAATGGGGGGAGGGGGTCACCACGAAAAGACCATGAAATCGGCTCCACACACTTGAGGACCCCGCGAAAATTCCTTTGCTCGCTGCGATTTAGGTAGGTCCCTGCTTATATACCTTTATTAATCTAGCCATTTTTAGCAAGAGGGCATCAGTCACCACGAATAAAAACTTACAGTATATTCCAAGAAAAGTTTATTGTTAGCATGGAGGTGAAGTCGATTGGAGACACGAAAAAAAAAGATGTTAAGCTGAAGGTTTGTTTCAAAGATGCAAGTTGCAAAATTTAGCAAGCACTGCATTTGGAAGGGGTGGGTATAAGTCATTACAAACAGCTACTGTTACAAAGCAGAAGCACTCTGTTCCCCCCATCCCTCACAACTGTAGCCATTCTCTATTCCTTTTTTGTTAAGACATTTTAGATCCCCTTCTCTCTAGTGAATCATATTTCTTTAATAACCTGACAAAGACTTTATGGGAGGCCATGGACTCAATTCTCCCCACTAAAAGCAGCAGTCACACCAATGGAAAGAGAATTAAGCACTACGCATTTTCAAGTCCTTAATATAAAAATAGGGTTTTTTTTATTTCTTTGGCTTTTTCAGCTCTGAAAACCCTACTTGAGAAACCAACATGACAATCAGATGATTTTTCTAGTGTTTGTACTTTGGCCCTACCTCCTTTTTACCAACACATAAAATGGTATACAGCATTGGCAGCCCTTATAACTATATAGCTAACTGCTGAAATCCCAATACAGAGCCATTATTTGAGTTTCAATATGTATCAACACCTACAATTTACACAACTATAAAAAAAGCACAATCTAACCAGGCATTTGCTTGATATAAGCCTACCTGTCAGCATCTCCTAGTCCCAGTGAAGTGTTACGCTGAAGTGTCTCCCTCACTGCAGCCATACCGTCAGGCAGACGATTTAATCTTCGAGTATAGAGGCCCAATCCACCATCAGTCATGTATCTTCAAAACAGAAAAAGATATACTTAAACACATATTTTTAGTTAAATGATTTGTAGAAAATAAATGTCATAAGCACTTTTATGCTTTTGGGCATATTTGTGTATCCAGTTTACCTAAACTTTTGTAGAATACTCAAATATAAAAGCAGTAAAACTTTGCACTTGGTTATGGAGCCAACCATGATCCTTTTCTTTCTTTTCCTCTCTTCTTTCTGCAAACCATCTTATCCCTTTTACAAGCATAATGAGACCATAACAAGAGTATGAAAAAGGAAAAAATATTCACTGGTCCATTAAGAATTCCCATGACTCCTAGATGCCTTGCAACTTTCCTTTAGTGTGTCTGAATCATTTAGAGAAAGAAAGAATAAGGTCTACTCACTCTGTAGACATTTTTTATCCTCAAAAATGCTGTAGGTAAAATTTTTAGCCCTCATGACATTAAGGGCAAAACTTCAATGGGGCCAGGATTTTGCCCAAGCTCGTACCTGCTGTACATGGGCATCCCAAATACTAGGACATACATTGTGAGACTGGGGTTTTGTACCATTGCATCAAATGTTGCCCTCATTCCAATTTTGTGCACTATGCTATATGCTGGCTGTTTTTAATTATCATCTTAATGTCAGATGTTGTTGACTTTCAATTGTGTCATCATAAAATACTTAAGCAGCACTGATGTGTATAGGGTGGAAGAACACTGAATCTCGCTGTGGATCCAGATACTTGAGCTGAAGCTTGATTCACTGCCAAAAAGGCAACCCAAGTTGACAATGCACACCTGGTTGGTTGGGCTGAGGAATCAAAAGTAGTGGGATGCTAGATGTATCGTTCCCTTGTGCGTCATTGGCTACAGAAACTGGTATGCCTTACCTACTCTAGCCCAATGGGCCATAAGACAGGACCATGGATTTGCCTTGACCTGACCTAGTGCATATAAGGTGCATAACAGATTAATAAAACAACATTCTTGCTATGAAGCAGTTTTATCTTAATTTAGACAAGAGAAGATTGATGCACAAAATAACAGACGTAGCTATGTAGATAAGTAGGTTTTTTGGAAGGGAAAGATAGTGCTTTGAGGACAAGAATTTGGAAGCACTGTAGTAATCATTCCCAATACATTTGGGACTTGTGGATATCTAGCAACTACACCTCTTTTACACTGATTATTACATATACAGACAGCAATAATTCTAATTACTTAAAGATTTCATTGCATTTCATAATCATTAATAAATTATACCTCATTCCCATAAGAAAGGTAAAATATCCAAATAAGCAGGTGAAGAAGCTGATGTTCAGAGTGGTTAAGAACCCAAAGCTCCCTAAAGTTAATAAAAGGAATTCAAGAAAGGATTGATCTTGGACAAATTCTGATCCCACTCAAATTCTAGGCAACAGGCAGAAAGAGACCTTTTATCTCCAGAACTGCAGTGATGTGCATTAGTCAGAAGATCATCCTTTTCCCCCTTGCTTCCACATGGAAACAGTTTCCTGAACCACTACTAGAAAACTAACAGCTAAATTTTGCAGTTCCCTCTTCCATTGCACTTTCTAAAGTACATAATGTCTGTAGCTGTATAGCTATTGTACAACTCAGTTGGAAAGGAGAATGAAAGGTAACGTTTCTTTTGAAATGCAATAGGATTATTAGTTAATAAACTACTCAAAGCAGAAATTCCCTGAAATTAAAGTTAAAAAAATTAGGAATGCCTGAAATTGGATCACTGAATGACACAAAGTAAGTCTGATTTTTGTTGGATCTTACATGGCCAAAAAGTATATCAGCTATATCAATAAGTATATCAACTATATCAAATATGAAAAAACAACACTAAAAAACTATCTAAGTAGTTCCTTTCCCAAACTGTTTTATAGCTCACTACTTGTAACCGAAGAGAAAAAACTTTAGTTTTACAACTAGGAATAGAATATCTATACTAACTGTATGCAACCTGAAGGCCTGGCTGTAGAAGAGAAAAAAAACCCAGCCTGATTTATGACTGCATCCTAATGTGACATGGTAAAACTGGAACCAATTATATTATAAGCTGGGGTTCAAGGTGCTCAATTTCCTTACAGTTTGCTGTGGCAATGATGGCCAGGTAAAAGCAAATTCATTACCACTTCTATCAATTAACTAAGGGCCCTGAGTGCTGTGCCATAGCAATGAAGTTTAATGCCTGGGGTAAAACCTGTAGTGGCAGCTCACCCTCACCCCGTGCACAGATCCAGGGGGTACATGCCCCTCCATGCTTGCCCAGGAGTGCATGCACCCTTCCTCCATCCCTGTGCCCCCCAAACAAGCCATTTGCAGCTTCATCCTGTACCTCGCCCTGGGTGGGCAGCACTTATTGGCACTCCTTCGCTTTGGCGCTCAGGGCAGTTGTCCCACTCACCCCTGTCCCCTTGCTATAGCACTGCCTGAGTGGTCAAAGTGGGTTGGCTTTGCGTAGGTAAGTATGAAACAGAGGTAGAAAGGGAAGATTTTGGCTGCATACACACATTTCAGTAATCTGGGAAAATTCTCCCAGGTTTGCTGTCTGGGCAGAGAAATTTACCTAGAGCCATATGTACAGACATTTGAATGCTGAGGCCCTGAAGAGTGGAGAGCTTTCACTGCTGACCCTGTGCAGCTGTGGGGAGGAGGGAAAAAGGGAGGAAGGAGGAGTGGCTCTGTGCATACATCTCAGTGTGTTCTGCAGGCTTCCCTAGTCTGCCTGGTGACAGATTGAAGCAGTACATAGGGCAGTCCTGATTGGCCGACCCAGACTGCCCGTGGTTAGCTGTGTTTCCCTGAAGCATAATGTGGGGATTATGAAGGGGGAGTGTTCTGGAACAGTAGAGTCCAGCAAGCAACACACCGTCTCCCTGGGGGGCAGGGAGGATGAGAAGCTGGAGGCCTATGGTCCCTTCTGAGAGAAGCCATGGCATGTGCATATATTCGCTGTCCCAGGAGAAGCTCTCCTAAGAGAGACTTAACTGTGGTTGTTTCCAGATTACTTTTCTTTTGGAGTGCCATTTTTACCCTGGGAGAAAAAGCCTGAGCATCTGTACTCTTGTGGTTTCTCCTGGGAGACCAGTCTGTATGAGGCCTTTCTCCTTCATAGCTCCTGCCACTTGAAGCAATCAGCCTGTTAACAGCTTTCCCTTAACTAATGTGCCTCCACCATTTCCTTCAAGTCTCTCCACAGAACACTCTTCTGTAACTGTTTATCTTGATTACTAGATGATGTCCAACTGGTCACTTGATTCACTGGATTTCATCTCTTATTTTATGACTGAAATGATGTAGGGAAGAGAATTAATAAACAGAGAATACCATATAAATTTTGGATGAAGAATTATTTGTTCCAGAGTATTAACATTCTGTAACATTAATGTTCTCAGGAAGAAATTGGTAAATGCTTGAGTACTTGGAAATGACAAAAAAGAGCATCCTACAAAACAGAAAAGAAAAACTTATACTTTTAAACTGCAAATACATGAATAAATCCATTTTTATTAGCCAGCTCTAGTAATGGAGTTTTTAGATGTATTTTGTATATTTGTATATATAGGTAGGTGAAGAATCTAATTGTACAGTGGCAAAAAATGACCAAATTTATTCCTTATTTTAATAGTACTAGAATGCAAACCCTAAACACATTCATGGAAATTGTGAACTATGTAGTTTTATTAGCTTGAACAAATGAAGCTAGCTTGTATGCACAAATTACCTGTACGGTACTGGGATGAACAAAAATTTCTAGGACTTAAAGCACTACGATTACACAGATACTCTGAAGTAAGCCAGGAAATCCTTAAACTACATACACATTGTTAAAATAGCCACAAAAAAAAAGTTTCTGTGGTCTATTAATAAAAAGACTGATATTCTGCTAAAAAAATGTTCCTTATGTAACACTTCAACTATCTTTACTCTAAATACCCTGACTTCATTAATACCTTGAAACCTTTTTAAAATTATCTGGTGCCTTGTTAAAATAACAAGCAAAGCTCAAACCATCCAAAGAAAACAAAAGACTTTTGTTTTCCCTTTATCACTGCTTCTAAGAGTAAGTCCACACTGCAGCCACAGCTGGGATGGTGAGTCCTATAGACATATTCAAACTAGCTGCAGCAGCAAAAAGCTTGGCCTGGGCTAGCAAACCTACCCCAGAGGCATTTAGTGTGGGGCTGAATTCTGTACTATTAGTTACACTGTACCTTGTGCATGTCTGCATTAAGCTATTTTCACTATGGATACTACCATATAGATATATCCTGAAGTTTTCATATGATTTGTTTAAGAAGCTATAGTCAAATCAATATTGCATATTTGGAGTTGATATCTTTGGCACATGCTTCAATAATTAACATACCTTGCTGAGTTGTGAATACAAGTAGCTGTGTCCTCTCAATTCTTTTGTAAGTCTTGTGGAAATTGTGCCCTCAAACAATTAGATCCAAACAAAAAGGATATCTTCTTCTTTTTTAAAGGATCAATTACTGTTTCTTCTTACTGTCACATATATTTGCTCATGCAAAGAAAAAAAAGCCAATCTAACATAAACCTATACTAACTATGTGCCAGTTGATGGTGGCAGCAGGGAGAGAATCACAATCCAGATAGAATATCCTCCATTTCCACCTTTGCGTATCACTTTTGTCATAAAAGCTGCTGTAACACTTAGTTGACTGTGAAGACTATGTTTCCATAAGATGGGAAGGAGAAAACAAACAAACCAACCAATAAGCCTATACAAGATGTGATTTAGATATTCAAATCTGTTCGGGGCCTGCCCCAGAACAACAGAAGATTCTCCACTGGGACTTCTACAAAGAGGCTGCTAAGCTGGTAAAGCTAGAGACAAGGCTATTCTCAGTTCTCCAGTGCCTATGGGGACAAGATACAATTCTTTTCTTTAAACTGCATAAACAAGGAGGCATGAAAGAATTACAGAGCTTCCACTATAACTTTTAGATTAGGGACTTGGATCAGATTTTCCATTATAA